ATGTTGTCAGATTGAAAATTCATTTTCAATTGCGTTGATTCAGTTGACAGACATGGAAAAATTGACGAATTTCTTGAAGATATGGCCGTATTATATTCAACAAAAACTGGAGTTTGATTGATCATTGGATGATGGAATGATTCTCTCGGTAGTTGAAGTGTTATTTTAACACTTCAACACATTGGTGACTGAAATCTGTTTATAGTTACTCAATTTACATATTCATGAGAAGGAATGCATTTTCACACTGTGAAATTAATTCTGAAGTCAGCTATGATAAACTGTAATTTGCAGCCGTCCTATAACTATGCCTTCAATGTATCGGACAAGTGTAACGAACCAGAGATTTTAATGTTGTTTTATATTGTTTTTACAGTAATGACAAACACGTAGAGTGTTCCCTTGAACTTAATACTTAGATTAAATTTGATATTACACATATTGAGTGAAAACATTAGACACTTCGTCATCCATGCATCATCAACTAATTGACACCTAATCTTTCTCAAGACAAATATCATCTCATCTATTGTTTTATGACAATGTGTTTAAGTTAATTTAATCTAAATGAAGACTTTAATATTAATTCGAAATGGGCCTGTTATCATTTGTTACATTCATTCATGAATCGGCGTGTAAATATTAGTTGTAATTAAAACGTCGATTGACACAGTTAACTGACCACAAATACACATAAAATTGTCATTTTGTTTAAACAATAGTCAAATCATCAAGTGTGTAAATAGATAATGCTGATAATTTAAGGTTTAACATACTCCCGATAACTTCAAACTCCACCAACGTTCTAGTTTTTGCCCATTCTTGAGGGATCTTTAATTGATGTAATACAGCTTTTTTTGGATAAATTGAACAGAAAAAGACAATTAATAATTTTGATTTGTTTTAATGTTTATCAAGTTGTTTGCATAATTTAAGTTGCGATAAAAATAAAAAAACATAAACATTTGCCAGAAAGGATTATGTGAAGATCGTCTAACATCTTCAAAAATAAGGGTGTACTATACTGAGTTTTGCAATTGATCAATGTTCAACCAGTATGTCAAAAAATGAAGTCGATAAATGTTCTGTGTTATTTTGCGGAGAAATTAATACAATCAACATTTCACATTTTAAATTGTAAATAAGCAACATAGAAAGTTACAAATCAACAAAGAATAATGACTAGCAGTGGATTCCAATGCGTGCGCTTCGTCTAATGTAGAACTTATCAGCTGAATATTCCTGAATCTAAGCGGCAATATACATTTTCGCCTACATGGCTTGTGACGTAAGGCAAATTTTAAAAAAGGTCTATAAACTCAGCTACATCTTCCAAAAACACATGATCATTTCAATGAATCATGTTGATTGAGCAGTTTATAAGGAAAATATCGATTTCAAATACCACTCGTTTATATCTGTCTCATTCAAAACACACATGCTTTTGCATTGAAGAATGATATAACTGAGGACTGCAAGTTTGATTATTATACTGTTTCTGAGTGAATAAATGAGTGTAAATATCGTTTCGTTAATACGGTCATTCATACATAACATCTCCCGTTAGTCAATAGGTCACCATTAGCATGAAATGTCTCCAAATAGCCATCCAAGCTTTTTCAATAAAGACGTTCATTCGTCCTAATTATTTCTTACAACGAAACCGGTTGAGTGAGCCTTAGCAAATATATGTTTGGTGATTTACTTCACTGTACATCAAAATGTTAACAACATTAGTTGAAATGTTTCTTACGCCTTTCACACTGGAATTGACGGAACATTTCTCCTGGGATTTTTTGCTCAAATTTTGTTGGAATCTGGAAAAACGTATTTGAATTTCAAGTCAAAATATGTCAACGCACAACCCTTTATAATAAAACCAATTATACTTAGGAGTGATGTGTCATCACTGAGATTATCTTACTTAAAAACAACCAGTCACACTTAAATTAAGCATACTGATATTCCCAAATTTTTTATGATGTGTGTTCCACCCAGTGCACATATATATTTTGAATCATTCCAGTCGTCAACTTCAGTGAATGTCGATGAACTATCTATCTATCTATCTATCTATCTATCTATCGTGAAATGTGTGATGAATATCTACGTCAGCTGAAATGAAATGTGTTTGTGAATGACTGCATGCATTCAATGCTCAAAACATTCAACAGTAAACATTTCGAATATCCGATCATCAGTAGATGTAAGAAAACTTTAAAGTATACGCTTGTTTCTGTATAGAACTATATAACATACACTGTCTGTTACTATTTCGTATGAACACATCATTTCTTTTGAAAGCAATTGACTTCTAATTATTGGTTGTTTTAAACAAATGCTTGATTGAAGTGTGTCATCAAAGTTTTGGTAGTAGTGTCAAGCAGTTTAATTGCACATTACAAAATGTTGATCACTTTCTAACGTGTTCCATGTAACTTGATACATTCGACAGAATTCATTACTTTGAAATGTTAGAATGATCTGAAATACGTGAAATAAAATTACATTTCCATTCAATTGTTCAACTTACTTTCTCATAATACATAGATATCTTTCCATTCGGATACATCAGAATGATTACACTGCCGTCATGGTCTACAATGAAAAGGTAATGTACACATAGAATTTGAAAAAGAAAAAAATAAGCAAGTTATTGTTTGATGTAACACTGTGTATGCCTATTCACAAAATGTTCACTGTGCCATCTCAAATACTTTCTTCAGTTGAATTCGTAATAAATATTTTCAAGTGAATGAACGTCATGTTATAAAAAACAAGCATTCATTCTTCAACATGAATGTTGAACGCTTAGTTTGTGAAGCAGTATTATTATTGAAACAAATAATCATCAATGTTCTATTTAGATCTGATGGTTGGAGAGGTATCAAGCCTTAGTATATATGACATGAGATATGGAGTGTTTGTTTACGATTGGGACTTGTGAATTCAATTGATTGGGTAACATTTCAGTCGATTAAGTGATTCTGATCATAACGTTTATTTAAAGTAGAACAAAAATGAGATAAGGACTTAAAACATTGGTGGTGATTAATTTATTACTCATCAAATCTAGTCTTCTTCAGTTCATTTCATTTGTTCTCTAAATTCTAATCAATGTGACTAAACGGTAACTGGATTTCAACCATGATTCTGCCCTTTTTCCAAGAACAGCAATAGATTCTTAATTTTTCAGTTTCTGAAGAGAATCGAATCACGCAGTTTGTAAGTAATCACAATCAGTGAAGATGTAAGTGTTTATATTTCACATATGATCGAACGATCATTCAAAGTTGACTTACCTGAAATAGTAATTCCACGTTCTCTAATAAACCATCTGATGGCGAGAAATTCTTCTGAAATAATGAAAATCAAGCTGGATGTTTAACTATCTGCTTGCACAATATCTATCTCTTTTGATAATTGTTTATTTTAACACGGACTGCCTTTGCATACAAATTATCATCTTCATTTTCAGATTTAAATGAACCAATATAGTTAAATGCTCACTAATCCCTTAAGAAGAAGTTTCAATAGTTATTATCATTTCAACGATATGATGAAAGTTTCAATACAAACAACGCAGAAGAATATTTCACATACGTATCATTTGTTCTAGTAGCTTGAGACTGAGTTAGGGATCTTTAGTATATATCTGACAATACCCAAACAAAACCATATTCGGAGATTCTGTTATTCATCAGTTTTCATAACTGACCGAAATGAATGTATATTTTATTCCAGTAAATTGTCTTGTACTAGCAGACCGTTCGTGGTCGTTCACTGGTTAACTGTTACAGGTAGTGCCTGGATTCGAAGTTCACAGCCACACAAATATTATCACAGTGATGGAGATGAATGTTCAATTGTCATCAGAAAACAAATCAGAGACATTAAACTTTCAAAAATCTGGTTAATGCTAGAAAAGTATTGGATTAGATTGAACAAACTTAAACAGTTCATAGACTTCAATAATCCAAACTGACTTCTCTCACAATATCAGTTTTCGTTGTACATGTGGTCAGTTTGATTCATTTAGCCTACCAAGAATTATTGTGCCGGTGAGGTGTCTTCTTATTTGTAGTATCGATAGACTGACTGTAGGGTAGGTTATCTTCACTTTGACCATAACATCACCTGATTTATCACTTCTACTCAATCAACGTGTATTTATTTTGCAGAGAATCTCTGTTTTATTTAATATTTTCACTTGACAGTGTTGTGCAACACAAACAAACAAAGCAATCATCATGTGGTGGTCGGCTTTCGTATATTAATCAAGTGAAATACTGAATCACATATGCAAAATAAATGTGAGAAAAAGAAACGAAACAAGCTAAAACTGAATGGTGAATGAACTCACCTTTATCCAAAAGCTCTACTTTAGGTATTACGGCGTCTATAGAATATTTAATTTGTCCCAGTAAATTGTTTGCGAATATCTCTGATCCAAATTGGTTCTCTTCATAAAAAAATGCAACATGATTGATAATTTTACATTGAATGAATAAAATGCTTTGGAAGTAAACTAAAAACTTATATGAATTTGATGAACTGTCTTTGGTTTGCTGTAAAGAATCACATTATTTTTACAATTTGATCAGGAGAAGATATTCAAAGAAGTTTTGAATCTCACAAGGAGCATAAAACTATTTCCTTATAGAAGTTCAATTAACTTCGATTCATGGAATGAAATATATCAAGAAGACTCAGAAACCATTTTGGTTCAATAAAAATTATTCACTTACTTCTGCTAAACTTCTCAATCTTAGAGACATCACTATCGTAAAATTTAAGCGAGGATTTCGGTGTAACAGACTAAAATGATGTAAACATATGGATAAGTAAGTCTACTACAAAATGAAGTCAACTCACTCCAGTGAGATCAGTTAGATCAAAAGTGCCATCCACAATCGGATGAGGTTGATCAAGACGAATCCTTTGTGAATATTGGTAATGAAGAGACTGTTGTGTGCATTAGAATCTGACTAATTACTTACGTAATGATATGAATCGTTTTCAACAAGCATATTCTTATATTGCAACAATTCAAGTTCTTTACAGATATCCTGACATTCAAGGAATTTGTAAAGCAATACGATGATCGAATAAAGTAGTATAGATAGACTTGACGAAAACGTGAATCTAAAATGGTTGAGATGAAGAAAACAACAATATCTCATTGAATCAAATTTTAATTTTTATGATACAGTCAATAACGTCAAAAGTGTAATCAACAATTACCTCATCTTCTTATTCAAGGTAGTTAATAAAATTTAACTGGAAATTGTCCGGTTTATATAGACTTTTGAAGTGCTTGGTTGTTTCTTTCTGATTTGATGATTCAAATTAACCATTGAGAAGATCAAATTTTATAAAATCATATGTTTATTGTTCACCAATGAAGGAGATAGATGAAATGATCGTTATTCAATATTCTTCTAGCTATTGTAAACAAAGAGCTGATATTTATGCACTGTCGGTTAAAACTGATGACCTCCTTTGAAGAAACCTCACTTGGATGTAATTTACAATACATACAATACAGGTCATTGATTAACTTGTGGTTCAAAATGTTTGCTCGTGTGATTACAAATAAACAGTTTATTACTTGTTTTAGGCTGTCAAAAGACTGTGAACCATGCGTTATTTGGATTTGATTGTTTGAAATCAAAGTAACACAAACTGTTTTGATTGAATGTCGAAATTAAAGCGTCTTCACTTGAATTTTATTTCAATAAAAAAACATTTTTTGTCAGTAGATTAAACCATCGTTAAATATGAAATTGTAACTTCTGAACAAAGCCACATCCATTCTATCTGACCATCATATATATTATACCACTGACTGTTAACACGTGTTCAGATCAACAGAGATAATATTTTTCATATTGATCCCGTAGAAATTAAATTGAATTTTTTCCGTAATATGAATTGAAATCGTTAGTGATTGTATTCAAAGAAACACAATGCAATTCATTAAGAGTGAACTGTTGAAAATTGAGAACAAGTTGTTGAGTCAGACACAGTTTTGTGGTTACAATAGTGATTATTGTATCAAATGGTAACTAATAAACTTGTTAATTCACAAGAGGAAGACCGATTTTCATTAAGGAATTTCATCGAATTATTTCCACATAACACTTAGTCTTGTATTCATTGTTATCGGCGTTAAAATATACGAGTAAATCACTGTGAAAAGATAAAATCAAGTGTACACTTAATTTGCGTTAAACATCAAAGACTGATGAACGAATAAAAGTCGATTTCTTGTAACGAATTAATAAATTCAACATAACAAGTCTGCAATATTTTTTCCCAGGTAATAATTAAATCAATTTATCCCGTTCGATTTCAGATTGTTAATCTACTCAACCTGTATCGGTACTTGTCAGTTTTTCTTCACTCTTTTCTCTTTTGTTATAAAAGAAACTTAGTGAAATATCTTGTGCTCAGTATTCTATAAAATATCAATCATATACTATTGAATAAAGGTGATGATCATAATAATATTGATAAATCATTGTCATAATTTCCCAAAGAAATTTCATGCGGAGAGCAGAAACGATGGTCATAAATTAAATGTTGAGCATTACCATTCTCAGATTCATCACTGTCTACTAAATACCATGCGGTTTTCCCTAAGAAACATTTAAACAACATATAGCTTACTTGTGGTATATTTCAGAGTTTCTTCTCAATCCGGACAGAGATCATTCTTTTATGTCCGATATCAATCTTCTCCAGTATATCTTCAATAAAGACTAATACATTTCTCGAACGTATTATTCATATATGACTAATTTATTGTAGAACATAAACGGCTTCAAATTCTAATGTTAACCAGTTTTCATAATTATTGAAAACATAAAGAGTATTAGGTATGATTTAATTTGATGTATAATGTTCATTGTGTTATCGGCTTATAAGTTGAGGTTGAATACTCAATATACAGTCACGATTGGACAGTGTGATTTTGAAAAGTAATTCGAATTTATGTCGCTTAACTGTCTTAAATTTCTCATTTACATTCCCATCGATTCATTTTATACACAAAACAACGGATGAAAATATTCACAACATTGCAATCTCAATCTCACTTATAATCTGAAGGGAAGTAGTAGTAATTATTGACTGTGGTAAAATAGAGGGACTTCACAGAATGATCAAACAAAAACAAACTTGTTGTAGTGAAGCTGAAAGGAAATGAGTTCGAAAGTGCTAAAATGTAACTTGCAGATTTGAGTGATCTGAGAAGGTAGAAAAGTTTACTCCATTTTCCATACTCAAGAGTTGAAAAAGCATGCACTGATTAAACAAGTGATGATAAGCTAAATACAATTCAACAAACAATTTCAGAGGATGGCTTTCAACCTATCTTGATTATTTATGGTAATTTGAAACCGGGATAACAAGTTGAAAAATTTCACACAGTTTCAACGAATTTTCAACTCTTGAATATGAAACTCAAGGATGAATTGCGTTTTGGGATTTAGAGAATAGATTATCCACATCAATCAAAAGCGCATTATAATCTGCAGTTTTTGAACTAATTACTTTTACAAGAAAAACATTCGCGGAAAATTAAAGGGTCGACAGATAACTCAAACCGCCTAAATATTAATCGACGATCATAAGAGAAGCAGGTGAAAATAGTGATAAGATAAATATACTTGCTTAAATTCATGCCTATTGACAGTCTTAATTTATGACATGAAGGCAGATAGTAATGACAAATTACAGTTCCATATACAATAACAAGGATTGTTCGATAAATCATGACCATAATGCATTCGACAGCAAGAAAGTAAGGTTGAAGTGATTTAGAAGATAAAATTTTCAAACATCAATACATTATACTCTATGATTTGTATTATTTTCGACATTAACACAACATTTCCTTCTTTCGTCTACTCAAAAATGTTCACACTGAGCACTGTCAATTGACGATTCAGTAAGGAATATAAATGGTTGAATATTACTTAGAATGATCACATCTACTATTTGAGTTCTTTGCATCTAATATGCGTTTCCGCATAACAAATATTTTTCTAAAAACAATGATAATGATGATGATCATAATAGTTTACACGACCCGAAAGTGTGATTTTGGAGAAAAAAAACATCAGTTTGTTGACCTGAGTTGTTGTTTTTAGAAGTGTTAATGGTTTCAACTTTCTTCTTCTTTATCATCACATTCTATCTAAATAATCAAATATAATGGCTTTCTCTTTTCTTTAATGAACCTGATATAAAACTGAAATAGAATAAGGAATGTCGCTCACTAATGATACACCCACGTATACGGAATAAACATGAATGAAATTTTCATTTTACAAAAGACTACTACTTTTCTATAGAGAAACTGAAGTGAAAGCCAACAGTTTTGATGTGGATTCATAGATTGTCTTACTTTAGCTATGCATAAACTCTGTAATCATTTACCACCTTATTTCAAATGAGTTCACTGAAAGTCTTCTTATAGTATTTTCTATTTATGGCGTTTCAATTTCATCAATCAATGGGACTATGAACGACCATTCCGATGCTTTTAGACTCCATTAGTTAATGCGTCCCAATTTTATTGAGTATGAGACTGTGATCAATATTCCGGATAATTACACTGGACTATTTGCCAACTGTGTATTTGTGTTGAATATTGATTGTAGTTGGATATTGTGGTAAGGTGTGAGCGATCACATTTTGCAGGAGATTAAACGCGTTTCGAAATGTCATTCGGTTTTGAGATTCATCTTGATTTTGCAACAGAGTTCAAATGAATTGTTACGTAAGGAAGCATTTGTAGGTGAATACTTAAATAGCCTGTCGACTATGTTTGTGTTTATAATCCCAAATTTGTCTATTTAGTTGACGTTGCTGCGGAGTTATCTTGATTGATTTAAATCCTGTTCGGTGTTTTTATAGTCTGTAGATAAAATTTCGCAAAGCCAGTTTTCATGACGATTGGTATAGATCAGTGATGTGTATCCCCACTTCTAAAGAAACCATTACTCCTCACGTGATACAAACTCAAGTTTGCACAAAGCGAATTAACTACTAAATTACCCGTTGATCTGACATCAAATTGAGAGTTCTAAGCATACTTGATCATTTTTCCAAGATCACCCTACAGAAGGTGACTGGTGAAATTCGTCCAAATTTACAATACATTCATTTGTTGATATTGCCTTACCGTGGATAACTAACTGACAAATATTTACCATTCAATTCTTTCTTCCGTGACATAAATTATTTCACTATAATAGATAAATTTATCGTTACCTGATATTGTGGATTAATACATCCTAATGCTGACCAAGTGTCGGTGTTTACTGAATATTGATTAAGGTGTACATTCCAGTGAAATAAATTTGTACAAAGAGAAGAAAGTAAAAGGATATGAATAATTCAAATGATTAGAATTTAGGGAACACAAAGAGTGGATGCACAGAAGCCATTGCAAACGATTTGGAGCTGTCATTCAGGGTTTCTTACCATCGAGTGCTTTCATCTCGCGGTCTCTAACCAGGTAGTCTACACCTACCAACATGGCTTCGTACGCTTGTCAGTGGCTTTACGTATTTGTGCTATGCTTGGGTGTGACCGCCCCCCAGATTTCTTCCAACCTACTCAAGTGCCATTGAACATTTCACATCGGGGCAGTCAGTTTCTGTGCATACGTAACACGTGTTCTAGCCATCTCAACTGTAGAAGTTAATCACTTCATCAATTGATTTGCCATCCTCATGTAGTACTCGTTTCCTAACAATTGCATTACTTACTCGGTGGTCTCAGGATATACGAGCAATGTTTCTAAGACACTAATGATCAAATACCAGTAACCTACGAATATACTCTACTCTTAGCTTGACTACCATTGGGTAGGACCATGAAAGACTGCCTTGCAGCTTCTTTCCTACATCCAGTAAGACGCAGACAAGTACGCGCTCGCACCAGAGCATAATCTGAATCTGAGAATGTGTTCTACAATGAGCGACAGTCTTCTAAAGACCCCCTTCACCGGTGAGTCTATTTTTGTCAAACTTTGGGACGAATTCGGGTGTCGCCATCTCAAAAGGTGTTTTTCCTTATGCTTAAAGTTAGAATTTGCAAGAAACAGGCGTTTATCTGAGCATAGCTACAACAG